GAAATCGTCCGAGTTGGCTGATAGTATCAGGACGCACGTAGGTGGCAATGGCATCGATTCGACTGGTGGGTGGTTTGATGCCATCTTTGTTGATGACATAACTGAGGAATTGGACTTCTGGTTTTGCAAGTTGACATTTGCTCAGCTTAATCCGAAGTCCGTATTTGCGCAGGATTTGAAAGTTGAGTAGGACATGATTAAAATATCGTCAATGTAGCAATACACAAAATCAACGCCACGAAATATGTCGTCCATAAATCGTTGGAATGTCTGCGTAGCATTCTTCAATCCGAAGGGCATATATAAAAACTCTATTAAACCAAACAATAACAATAACAATAAATCGTTTTGTTTTATGTTTTGTCTAACCAACGATCGTGGTATGACAGATACTACTGATCCGGAGTCGATCAGAAAACGCATGTGTGATTTACGGTCGATGATGTGCAGACGGCTTTCTTGTATGACTATAGGCTTTGGTTTTGTGTCGCTGTCAATTGTTTCACTGTCGGCCACCAGCGCGTTGGACGGCAGCTGTTCTAGTTTAAAGACTGGGCGCGAGCGTATGGTGGCTTGCATTTCTGCGCTTTATCGCCGAATCGATGATGGTAGTAGCATAGTTTTTGCTCTCCGTTTGGCTGCTGCGATGCATCACTGGATTGGCTGTGGAACCGTTGATCGGACTGGGCTCGTGATTGGCTACGCGATCGTTCGGCTGACTGAATGCGTTTTACATCCTTTTGCAGATTATCAAACTTTTGGGAGTGTGAGCGTAATGAGTCTGCAATATCATGAAGAGCCTGTGGAAGCGACAGCATTAACAGTGGTTGCGGGCTGTGGAGAAGAGGCGACGGCAAACATTGACGTTGCGTTGACTGTGTCAAGCATTTTGTCAGCTATTTTGGCGAGCTTGTCTAAATCATTTTCCTCCCATACTGTCAGCAGTGGTCGGATATTTTGTGGCATCTCAGCGAGGAAAAGCGTGCGAATAATATTTTCGCTGCTTGGATCCGGAGCAAGACGGCGCATATGTGTTAATATTTCCGATGGCTTTAAACCGGACGTTTCTCCTCCTTGTAGTAAACGGCGTAGTTTGGATTCTGCCGATTCTGCATATTTTTCAAGAAGACGATTTTTTAAAGCTTGATACTTATTTGTAATAGGAGGGCGGATCACCAGATCCTCTACGGCCAAAACCACATCTGCGCTGAGATTAACAGTTACGTGATCAAACTTGTCATCGTCATCGTTGATTCCATATAGGCGAAAAGAGCGTTCTACCTGGGCAAACCACAAGTGGGGGTTGTTGCATGTGAATTTTGGTAGATGAATTGCAGCACGTTGCGTGACTGCCGGGGCGGCAGCTTGCGGTACACTAGTAGATGAAATAGCTTGCAATAATTCAATTTGTCGTTGTTGGCCATATTCATGTCTTCTTGCATGTCGTTAGAGTTCTCTCTCTCGAAGATCAGCTTCCTTGGTTTTAGAGAACGCAAATTATAGCGAGGCTGTTGCGTACACTAAACGCTGTGTGTTTTTCCAACAAATCACTTATGACGCGCACTTGTGTGCTGTGTGATTTTGGAAAGCGGTAGCACGCGTGGTAAACAAAAGAATTGCGATAGCACTGAGTGTTTCTTAACGGGGTCACCAATGTAGGAAGTTGGAATATTCCCTACTGAATATATAATGCGGATGTGTTTAACATAAAACAATAGGTACTTTATTAAATGTTTGCTGTAACGGCGTACCAGCAAGCTTGCCTCGTGGAGATCGATTGTCCATCATAATATATCGGAACTAGGTGTTCAAATTAGTTGAGTATGATTAGCAAAAGATGGCGCTGTTCAGAGAAGCCACATCTTCTCGATCAGTGGCGCGCTCTGTTGGGTGGCCAAAAATGTTTCCAGTAGTTGGCGCAAGAGGGAGCTGTACGGTACGAACTGTGGCGACTCTGAACATCGCCATCTTTTGCTAATCATACTCAACTAATTTGAACACCTAGTTCCGATATATTATGATGGACAAACGATCTCCACGAGGCAAGCTTGCTGGTACGCCGTTACAGCAAACCTTTAATAAAGTACTTATTGTTTTATTTAAACACATCCGAATTATATATTCAGTAGGGAATATTCGAACTTCCCACAGAACTGCCTGACGTGTTGGTGATCTGCTTGTTTGGCGAACTGCTTGCTTTGATGTTGTCCGTCGAAAAGCAGTGTGCAGTGGTCGGCGTTCTTCCACGTGTTCACTCACCCACTCATGGGTTTCCGATCGTTTGGGTAGGCTTGCACCACTAAAGATATGCATCAGTTGTGTCGTGGTCGTGATTCCCTGGAGATCTGCTTGCATCCGCAGTTGTTCACTTGGTATACCAGCAATGACATGCTCGACCATTTCATCTAAATCGATCTGGAAGCCTATGGAAAGTGAGACCTTGTTGCTGAAGTAGCTGTTAAAACTCTCGGTAGGTAGCCACTCTCGTTGCTCAAACTTGCGTTGGAAAGCACTTTTGCTTTCTTTTACGCCAAACGTGTCTCTTATATTTTGCAAAAGTTGATCCACCGAAACATTAGTGTTGTCACCAGCATGTAACCAATCGTATGCTGTTCCTTTTAACTTGCAGAGTATGACTGCACGTAGCAGTCCATCGTTGAGTTTAAAAATTTTTGCGACATTTCTGACTTGCTTAATCCAAGCATCTGGTGCGTCATTCCCATCGTACTCTTTCACTGCATCGGCCAGTATGTTGAACACAAGACAATTTGAAATCGAGTTATCGGTTTTTTCAAGTTGTTTCTTTTTCAATGCTTCATTTTCTTTTTCTAGAAGGTGAATCTTTTTCTACAGAGCTGCAACGGTTATTATGTTGTCAGCTTGGCCGTTGGCGTCTGTCGAAGAATTTTCGCGATCATTATTGTTGTTGTTGCTCTCGAACTGTACGTTTTGTGACACATACACACCAATGTCAGCGGCACCATAGTTATCTCTTTCGCACTCGTTTGGGTTTTCGCGCGAATCGTTTACTGTTGGCGACGATTCGGCGGCATTCCTTAGTTGTGCATTGGATATTATTTAAAGGCACTGCTTTTGGACGAACTTAAAGACTGGACGCAATTGCTTTGCGCTGTAGTCGCTCTTGTCGTTTAAAATGTACTTTTATATGCATTAAGCAAATTCTCACACATTGGACTTGAAAATTGTAGGCTTTGTTGAGTATTATCTCACTTCTGAATTTGTGGTGGGGCTTGCACCACAAGTAAAACACACGACCGCTCCGTTTGCCAATCTGTTTAATACTGTCCTTTAGTATTCAAAATCATTCGATGTTACATATCATTCGATCATTCGATATCACATATGCTTACGTATATACTCATACTTATACTACTACAATACATATGTACATCTCCCCGCAACGCGAAGCAGAATATGCGTAGGTCCGCTTTCGGTTTCTGCTTTACTATCGCTTACGCAGTTGTTGCCTAGCGAACTGCAAACTTTTGGCATTTTGCCTTTGAAATTAACAGGCGTAAATGATCAAAACGAAAGAAGAACCGCGAGCCAATGACTTGCAGTTGTTGTTGTTTTAAAAATTTGATTTAAAGCCATAGAACATTATTTATTACAATCAAACAACAGTGCTCGATTGTTACATACGAATGTACATACATGCTATATATGTACGTACACAGGCATACTTGTAGATACATACATATTTATGTACATATGCATGCATGTTTCTCTTTACTTTTTCAACCGTACGTAGAGAACCGCACACATAGACACGAACTGTGGCTTGTTCTGTGTGTGAGTGTGTGTATATGATGTCCCCAACTATTTGATATTTGCGTTCTTTGTAATTTGTTGTTGCTGCATAAAGTTACTAATGAAAATCCTAATGCCAAATGTTAAATAATTTTTAATGAATTAACATTTCTTGCTCTGTCAGTGCAAGACGAATGACCATACATACATACATAGATGTGTACATATGTATGTATGTGTGTACATTCACACATTAGTGTCTCACATTTTGCTTTGGCTATTTTAATCATTTGCACACAACTACACGAACAGCTGCTTGTATATACTATATGTGTGTGTGTATGTATACTAAGTTGTCCCCAACTGTTTGATATGCATTTTATGTTTTTTGTTCTGCTTGCATTTGTAAAGCGAGATAGTATTTCTATAATTTGAAAATCCTTGAATGCAAAGTTGTAGAGTTAGTTACGTAGATTATATTACCCAAATTTTAAATCGATCGGACAAAATGTATAACACAAAATTATCATTTGAAAAAGTGAATAAATATTTAAACCCCACTAATTCAAGCTCCAAGACCCAAAAACCAAGTATGCAGTTTTTCTTGTATCCTTTAGGAGAGTATACACACTAAGTTTGAAGATGAATCAGATGAAAATTGTAGATTTTTCATACAAACGTTGGAGCCCGTTTTCCACCATTTGGAGCTCTAATTTTCCAAAACCCCTTCTTAGTGCTCACCTACACTATGATAGGATACTTGAGCTAAAATAAAGAAGGAGGCATGGCAGACCCCACAAATATATACTTTTTTCTTGATCAGGATGACAATCCGAGATTTTGAACTAAAATTTGGTAGTCACATCCAGTTAGTGAATTTATATCCGTATATCAAGTTTCATTATGATAGGTTGAAAGAAAGCTTTAGCCATATAACCAGGCCCAAATTGTATTGCTGCTTTGACATAATTATGTAGTGCACACATACATACATATGTACAAGTACACAAACACGCATAGACACGATTCTGATGTAAATGTAAATTTATGTATGCATGTATGGAATGTTTTATATTTAATTTAGTTAATTAATTAAATTAATTAATTAATTAAATTAATTTAATACCTTTTTTGTAGGGTGGTACAGGGTATTTAAGAGTTGAGCCCATTGAGCATTCTTTTCTTGTTTCTTGTCTAATGTAATGGTAATACTTAAAACATATTTTCAGGTCTCCAATTGGTTTAAAAATCGCCGGCAAAGAGATCGTGCAGCGGAGCATAAGGAGTAAGTCATTTATTTAATAACAAATAAGTAAATTATATTTGGGATTTGTTTCTTTAATAATAAATACACATGCATTTATATTAAATAAATAAATGCAAAAGTAAAATTTTTAAAAAGTTTTTTATAGCTGAGTAATAGTTATACTCTGTACATGAAATGTGAGTGTATGAATGTTAATGAGCGTCTATTCGTGACTGTGTGAGCATGTTTGCAGTTAACCAAAGCACCAACATCAACAACAGCTGCGGCCAGCGTTTGGGTAGCAAATATATTTATGGCTATAACTTCTTGTTAAATCTATCATAGTGAAACTTGGCCACATGGACACATAATAACTAACTGGAGTATTTCGAAAGCAGTTCGAAGCAGTTCGAAGCAGTTCGAAATTCCAAGACTTACGGGAGTTAGAGAAAATTACGATTTGCGGGGGTGTAGGGGGTGTATAGAAAAAAAAAACTCAAAGTCGTACTTTCTCGGCCTTAGGAGAATCTGGATACCAAGTTTGGTTATTCTAGCTCTTATTCTTTCTGAATTCCTTGCGTTCATACCGACAGACGGACGGACCGACGGGCAGGCAGACGGACGGACAGACGGCTATAACGACTCGACTTGTCATCCTGATCAAGAATATACATATATACTTTGTGCTTTCGCTTTGTGTACAGGGTATAAAAATCCCCAAATCAGTAGGCCTGTTTTAGTCAAAGTCATGTAAACTAAATTGTTAACAGTTTATCTGTTCCATGGTAAGAAAAATTAGTCGTAAAAATGCATAAAACATGGAACAAACCATTACATAAACGCAAAATTGTAAGTCAATGTACTTACTATGTATCTCTTTTTAATATACCTATGCCGACTTAGTGGCAAACTATTACTTGGTCGGGCCGCCTGATTTACTACATGGAACCATTAATGGAACATCTTTTCGACATCTGGATGCAACCTCTGCCGTTCCCAACGCTACTTAAAGTCATATACACCTGTGGCTTGCTTTTTTTCATTTTGCTGCCCGTGCTCTATCCGTTCATGGTTGTTATCTTCTATTACGGGATATTCCAATACGTGAGCGAAAACCAGTTTTTGGTGGAATTCTCACAGAATTGGGATCTGCTAGGCGCTGTTGCAAATTTATGGAGCTTTCAAGTTACAAATAGAAAGTATTTGTTGTTTGTCACCATGTATATTGATCGGTATAGAGTAATTATAACTGCTATCTCATCAACAATTGATTATATGCGCATGGCGCTATGCTTCGTATTTAGTTAAAAAGTCTTGAAAAACTTACCGACCCATCAGGTATTTATATATATTTGATCACATATATCAACATTTTGTGCTTTATGTATAACATAATTGAGAAAATAAATATTTGACAAATGTAACTGCAAAATACCGCTTCCATTTTAACAAAATCAAGAATGAAAAGCTAGAGTCGAGAGCGCAGTTCTGAAATACCTTGTACCTACTCACACAAAAAAATGTGTATATTCTGTACATTAAATGTACAGGAGTATATTAGGTTTGCGCGAGCTGAAAAATGTAACAGGCAGAAGGAGGCGTGGCAGACCCCACAAAGTATATATATTCTTGATCAGCATGACGAGACGAGTCGATCTAGCCCTGTCTGTCTATCTGTCTGTCCGTCCGTATGAACACCTGGATCTCAGAGACTATAAGAGATAGAGACACCAAATTTTCCACAAAGATGCCTTATGTGTGTACGCTGTGCAAGTTTGTTTTATTATACACACATACACTCATAATTTTTCTACACATATGTACAGAGTATTTCAAAGTCGGGACACCCGACTTGAGCTTCTTTACTTGTTATACCCTGTACCCAAGGGGTTAAAGGGTATACTAGTTTTGTGCGAATGTATGTAACAGGCAGAAGAAAGCGTGGCAGACCCTACAAAGTATATATATTTTTAATCTTTTTATACTCTGTACATAAAATGCACAAGAGTATATTAGGTTTGCGGGAGCTGAAAATGTAACGGGCAGAAGGAGGCGTGGAAGACCCCACAAAGTATATATATTCCTGATTAGCATGACGAGACGACAAATGCAACTGCAAAATACCGCTTCCATTTTATCAAAATCAAGAATGAAAAGCTAGAGTCGAGAGCGCAGTTCTGAAATACCTTGTACCTACTCCCACAAAAAAATGTGTATATTCTGTACATGAAATGTACAGGAGTATATTAGGTTTGCGCGAGCTGAAAAATGTAACAGGCAGAAGGAGGCGTGGCAGACCCCACAAAGTATATATATTCTTGATCAGCATGACGAGACGAGTCGATCTAGCCCTGTCTGTCTATCTGTCTGTCCGTCTGTATATATTCTTGATCAGGGTGACAAGCCGAGTCGATATAGCCATGTCCGTCCGTCCGTCTGTATGAGCGCAAGGATCTCAGAAGGTACAAGAGCTAGAATTACCAAACTTGGCATCCAGGTTCCCCTAAGCCCTAGGCAGGTCAAGTTTGTTTTTTTTATTTTGATACACCCCCCACTCCCCCGCAATTCGTGGTTTTTCTTATAACTTCCATAATTCTTGGAATTTTTAAAGCAATTTTGGTAGTTACATCCAGTTAGTGCTTATGTGTCCGTGTGCCAAGTTTCATCATGATAGGTCAATTCTGAAGAAAGTTATAGCCATAAGTAAAATCGCTGCTCATGCGCTGCCTGCAGCTCTGTCGGCAGAGCTGCCCGCAGCTGTTGTTGATGTTGCTGCTTTGGTTCAACTTTGTGCTGCATATATACACGTACGTGATGTAAATGTATGCTGTTAAAACTGAACATAAACATGTATTCTAATTTAATTGAATTAATTAATTCATTTTTTTTAATAATTTAATTTTTTTTAATTTTTTTTTTAATTTCTTTTTTGTGGAGAGTACAGGCTATTTTACTGTCGGGCTTGCTCGACTGTAGCGTTCTATCTTGTTTGAAATTTTTTTTTGGAAAATGAAATATGGGAGTTTTCTTGTATGTAATGGGTCACAAAAGGGAAACCGCGTCAACAGCCCACAGCCCAAACGCCAAGAGCTCTGAAGCTGAAATTTGGACTCAAGGATCCTATCCTAAGAAGGGATTTTGGAAAATTCAAGCTCCAAAGGGGGGGAAACAAAATCCAATTTTTTTTTGAAAATTCTGCATTTCTGCACCGATCAACTTTAAATTTGATTTTTTTTTTAATCTCTAAAAGAATACAAACAAAACTACATACTCGGGTTTGTGGTGGAGCTTGAATTATTGGAGTTTTAATATTTATTCACCTTTTCAAATGAAAAGTTTGTGTTATTAAAAAATTATAAAGAACGCAAATATCAACTAGTTGGGGACATCACATACACACACTCACACACACAACAAGCAACAGTTCGTGTCTATGTGTGCGGTTCTCTACGTAAGGTTGAAAAAGTAAAGAGAAACATACATATGTATGTATGCCTGTGTATGAATATAGCATGCATGTACATTCGTATTAATGTATACATTTGGCAATCGAACACAGTTGTTTGATTGTTGATCGCTCAGATCATCCAAAGTTGCCGGTAAGCCAAAGTGAAGGGGTCCCTTGTCGCGACGATCCAACCAAAGATGTATGTATGTATATAAGTAACCCTTGTACTTATATGCACTAACGCACTGGCTTATGTATGCACTGAAGAGCACCGAAACAAAATAAAATAAACTGCACAAATTGACTTCCAATTTTCAAGTGCTTTATTGCTAGCCATGCAAGGCTTAGCATACGTATAACATAATGTGGACATTAATTTAACAGCGACCAAGAGACTAACATAAACAGCTGTCATTACAAATTAACATTTATGAGCGCTTACAATTAATTACTTACAAACGGCTTAAGTCTACAATTCAATAATAATTCAAACAACTTATATCTACAATTCAGATTATTTCAACAAACTTAAGTTGTCCTCGTGGACGAGTACGATTGTTTCGGTCTCCAGATTTGGCCAACCTATTGCCCACTTTTGGCGCTGCTGCAGGCTCAGCAAATAGTCTTTTGACCAGTCTGCCCAAAACCGCTGCTTGATGCCTGAGATCAGCTGCCAGCGTTGCAAGTAGGTCAGCCTGTCGTCTCTCACGGGCTGCCCTGAACCGGTTGGCAGCGGCACGAGCGTTCCGCCTACGAGTAGGTGAGCTGAAGTTATCGCCTCGCCGTCGTTGGGATTCGCTCCGTCCACCACGATTGGCCGCGAATTGAGGATGGCCTCCACCTCTACTAGTACGGTTGCTAGCTCGTCCTGCCGCAGCTTGGCGCTTCCTATTGCCTTGAGGAGGAGCCCCTTTGCCGACTTTACCGCCGCTTCCCATAGGCCGCCAAAATGCGGCGCTCGAGGGGGAATAAACTGGAACGTTATTCCCTTTGTGGCATCATACGACCTGATGGCATTCTGGTTGCTGATGAAAGTGGCCCGGAACTCCTCCAGCAAGCGCGCTGCACCCACAAAATTGGTGGCATTGTCGCAATATAGCCGCTTGACTGCTCCACGGCGACCCACAAACCTGGATAAACACATTATAAAAGAATTAGCAGTCAAGTCAGAAACGATATCAATGTGCACAGCTTTGGACGTAAAACAAACAAAGACGGCAACTTACATCTTAACTGGCGCTTTCCCACGTATTCCCAGCGTGACTGGAATTGGACCACAAAAGTCCACTCCGCTGACTTCAAACGGCCTACATCCATGTAGCCGATCAGCAGGTAAATTTCCCATTATTTGGTTGGCTAGTATTGGCTTGTATCGAAAACAATGCACACACTGCCGAACGTTTACCAGCCAAGTATTCTGGCGAAGAATAGCCAAGAGCGCACGGGGGCCTGCATGGCAATTGGTAAGGTGCAAGTATCGCAGATATAAATTAACAAATCGCCATACTTTTGGCATGGGTAATGGGAATTTCGCATTGTGGGGCAACGGCGCTTTGAGTAAACGGCCGCCAACTCGTACCAACATCAAAGTTCGCTTTCCATACTGATACGGACTCAGAAATGGATTAAGCTTTTGGTACGACGGTTGCAGGATCACCGACTTGTCTAATTTGACTATTTCGGCTGCGAGAGCAGTATGCTGGATCACGTGCACAATAGCCAAAAAGGCGAAGTGCAATTCAGTCGAAGTTGGCACAAGCGATACGTGTCCTGACCCCTTTCCGTTTATAAATCGAAACATGTACGACACTATGCGGAGAATTTTTAAGTACGACGACGACCTTTCAATTAAATCCAAAATTGGATTTGAAGCATTATCGGCCGCGATGAGAACCGTCGCATTCTTCCGCTTCTCCAGCACTGATTGCTCTTTGGTCAACTTAATGTGAGAATTAGTTGGCCAAAGGTTCTGGTCATTCTGTAAAAACTTTGGACCACCAAACCAATGTGAATCAATCAATTCTGCAGTGGTACAACCATGCGAAGTTAAGTCAGCTGGATTTTCTGCAGTCGGTACATGGCGCCAAGTGGCGTCTGATGTCAATTCCTGTATGGTAGCAAAATACAAATACAATACAAAATACAATTTGGTCAACAGGCTCATGGATAAGATGCCGAAATTTTTCCCACAATTTTGCGAGCACGTGTGCTGCCCACAATTCTATGCGTGACACCGACTTTGTTTTCAGAGGCGCTGCTTTCGACTTTGCAGTCAGCAAATTCACAGTTACTGTGTGCTCCGGCTCATTTCGGAGGTAAATGCAGCACCCATAAGCCCTTGTCGATGCGTTAGCAAAGACATTTTGTGCCTTTGGTGACGCCGACATATCGGGGAATGCGTATCGCCTCAATTTCATGAAATGACTGCGTAATTGATTGCAAGTCTGACAGCAAATGGTCAGGAATTTGGTCATCCCAAGCAGATTTTTGAAGCCAAATTTCTTGCATCAGAATTTTTGGTCGAGTGATAATCGGGCAAAGTAGACCAATCGGGTCGTACGATCTGGATATAAACGATAAAATCGAGCGCTTGGTGGGGGCAATGTCTATCGAAATGTTCGACATCGAATATTTAAAAGCGTCTTCACGCGGGCTCCAAATGAGCCCCAACGTCTTCGTATCCTCCTGATGGCCGATCACCATTTCGTCAGAAGGCGACGCTTTAAATGTTTCACAATTTGATGCCCATTTCGTTAGGGTGAAACCGAACGATTCGAGGACTGAAACTAGCTCATTCCGTAGCATTCGCAATTCTTCCACTGTGTCTGCTCCAGATAGCAGATCATCTACATAGAAATCGCTAGCCAGCGACTTTGAT